CCCTACGGCCGTTAAAGTCAATCGGACTCCATAGGGGGCTCCTTGCAGAATCGGGGCCAAAAAGAGCATAATCCCTTCGGGGCAGGAATTGTCTTTTGCTATTTAGCTTTACAGCACTTAGTACAATGGGGCTGTAATCTGCCAGGTGCAGCTGTAGGAACATCAGTAACATATTGATTCACAAGACATAACGAAGAATTCATAATCGACATGGAACAATAAATAGCAAAGGATTCAGTATGATAGGCAGCACATGGACTTGCTTATTAGCTAGTAATGACTAATAATAAATCTACACCAAGCCTAGCCACCAGCATATTCACAGATTTAGAGGCCAGAAGAGATCACTGATCATCTAGTCCAGGGATCAGCAACCTCTCTTTGTTCTCTGTTTGTACAGCGCCTAGCACAAGGGTCCATGACCGTCTGCTGCCATAATAATTGTGTTGGGTTCTCAGCAACCTTTCAAAGTGGTGTGCCAAGTCTTCATTTATTCACTCTAATTTAAGGTTTTGCATGCCGGTAATACATTTTAACGTTTTTAGAAGGTCTCTTTCTATAAGTCTATAATATATAACTAAACTATTGTTGTATGTAAAGTAAATAAGGTTTTTAAAATGTTTAAGAAGCTTCATTTAAATTTAAATTAAAATGCAGAGCCCCCGGACCTTCCCTGAATTAAGAGAGCTTCCCTGAATTAATTCCTGCTTCAACTCCAACAGCTGTGGCTGAGCTAGAACCCAGTTTAGAAAAACATCCAGTGATGAAGAATCCACCACAACCCTTGGAAAGTTGTTACAATGGACCCTGACTGTTAAAAAAAAATGGACATTGTCCAGTCTGAAGTTGTTTAGCTTCAACTTCCAGTCATTGGGTCTTAAGCCTTTGTCAGCTAGATTGAAGAGCCCTCTATTATCAACTTGCTGTTCCCCGGGAAGGTGTTTCTAGACTGTGGTCAGGTCACCCCTTAACCTGCTCTTTGATAAGCTACTGGGGTCTCTCACTGTACGGGACATTTTCCAGTCCTCTAACCATTTTCATAGTTCTTCTCTGAACCGTTTCCTTTTATCGACATCCTCCTTGAACTGTGGGCACCAGGACTGGACACAGGATTCCAGCTGCTGTTGCACCAGGACCAAATACAGAGGTAAAATAACCTCTCTGCTCCTACTCCATATCCCCCTGTTTATACATCGAAGGATCACGTCAGCCCCGGTTGACTATAGGATTGCCCTGGGAGCTTGTGTTCAGCTCATTATCCACCATGACTTCAAGTCTTCTTCAGAGTCACTGCTTCCCAAGAGAGAGTCCCCCACCTGTAAATACATCCTAGACCTAACATTTGGCCATACTGAGGCACCGACTGTTTGATTGCATCTAGCTCACCTAAGGATGCAGCTCGCTCTGTATCAGTAACCTGTCCTCTTAATTATTTACTGATCCGCCACTTAATTATTTACTGCTCCCCAACTCTGTGTGTCTTCTACAAACCGCTGAACATGAGCTCCCAGTGTGACACTGTGGCCGAAAGAGCTAATGCAATCCAGGGATGCATGAACAGGGGAATCTCGAGTAGGAGCAGAGAGGTTATTTTACCTGGGTACCTGGCATTGGTGAACCGCTGCTGGAATTCTGTCTCCAGTCCGAAGCCCACAGTTCGAGAAGGGTGGTAATAAATGGGAGAGGGGTCAAAAAGAGTCAGCAGAATTAGAGGATTGGGGCACATGTGTAGGTGAAATATTCAAAGAGCTCGATCTATTTAGCTTAAGAGAAGGTTAAGGGGTGACTTGATTACCGTTTATAAACATCTGCACAAATATTTAATATTGGGCTTTTTAATCTAGCAGAGAAAGGTGTAACACAATCCAATGGCATGAAGATGAAACTAGACAAATTCAGACTGGAAAGAAGGCATACATTTTTGACAGTGAGGGTAATTAACCATTAGAACGGTGGTTCCCAAACTTGTTCCGCCGCTTGTGCAAGGTAAGCCCCTGGCCCACGCCGCTTCCAGCATCTCCCATTGGCCTGGAGCAGTGAACCGCAGCCACTGGGAGCCACGATCAGTTGAACCTGCGGATGCGGCAGGTAAACAAACCAGCCCAGCCTGCCAGGGGCTTTCCCTACACAAGCGGCGGAACAAGTTTGGAAGCCACTGCATTAGAACAATTTACCAAGGTTCATGGTCGATTTCCCATCCCTGACCATTTTAAAATCAAGATTGGATGTGTTTCTAAAAAATCGGCCCTAGGAATTATTTTGGGGGTAGTTCTCTGGTCTATGTAGACAGGAGGTCAGACTAGATGCTCACACTAGTCCTGTCTGGCCTTAGAATCTGTGGTTTTTTAACTTTATCGGTGATGATTTTATGTGTTCTTCCAGGTCATTGATCAAACGAATGTTCATTTCAAGAGTCACAGATCTGGGCTGAATGCCCATCAGTGAAGGGCCCTACAGAGAACCCAACACAATTATTACGGCAGCAGACGGTCATGGACCCTTGTGCTAGGCGCTGTACAAACAGAGAACAAAGAGAGGTTTCCTGCCCCAGAGAGCTTAAGCTAAGGTTCTTTTTTGCCAAGCCCCCGTTGGAAGAAAATAACCCAATTCCTTTCCAACTTACCCAGAAGGTGGGAGATGAGCTGCTTCATGGTGGCCACTGCCTTCTGCAACAAGACAAGAATACCGCCTCTACTTGGTCCTCTTGTGATTTTTCTCAGGGGAAGTTTGCTGAGTGACACAGCTTTTACTGGGGCTTTTTATCACAGTTCCTTATCTCAACTGTGTCTCTCTTGGGACAGATACACCTCCCCTGCCCACGATGGCCTCTAAGCATCTAGCTAATGTTTGTTATGAGGGTAAACCTACCTCCAGTGGTGCTGGATCTAGGGGTGCGGCCATGCCCCTCACGTTGAAGTAGTAATAACAAACACCAGATACATGTTTCAGAATGACTCATCCACTCCATTGGCCAAACCGGACAACTTCTACGCAAAAGAATAAATGGACACAAATCAGACGTCAAGAATTATAACGTTCAAAAACCAGTCGGAGAACACTTCAATCTCAATTACAGACCTAAAAGTCACAATTATTCAACAAAAAAAACCTTCAAAAACAGACTCCAACAAGAAACTACAGAACTAGGATTAATTTGCAAACTGGACACCATTAAATTGGGCTCGAATAAAGACTGGGAGTGGATGAGTCATTACACAAACTAAAAACTATTTCCCCATGTTAATTTTCCCCCTACTGTTACTCACACCTTCTTGTCAACTATTTGAAATGGGCCACCCTGATTATCACTACAAAAGGTTACATTCTCTTGCTGATAATCGCCCACCTTAATCAATTAGTCTCATTAGAGTTGGTATGGCAACACCCATTTTTTCATGTTCTCTCTCTATATATATATATATCTTCCTACTGTATTTTCCACTGCATGCATCTGATGAAGTGGGCTTTAGCCCATGAAAACTTATGCTCAAATAAATTTGTTAGTCTCTAAAGTGCCACAAGTACTCCTCGTTCTTTTTACCAAATACATGGTTTCTATTAGCAGCACCCCACCTCCCACTATAAAAATTGTTCCAGCTCCCTTGCCTACCTCCCAGCAATCTACAGGAAGGAAAGTAAAAGGGGAAACTGTGCTCCTTGCCTTTCGGGAACTGAAACTGGCTAATAATAATAGTGGGATTTGAAGGCTTTAAATAACCTCATGGATGGTTCCTGGGAACCATATGTGACATTCTATAGCTTGGGGGAATGTCCTGTAACCCCCATAGTCCTCATTTTTATATAATCATGATCTTACATATAAAGCAGGCCTGCACAACACGTAAAGCGGTGAGGGCCATATTACTCCAAAGAAAATAGCTGAGGGCAGAAACCCCCTGGCCCCGCTGAAACAACCCCCCCAGTGCAGCCCAGCCCCACTGAAACACCACCACCCCCAGCACCCGTGTAAGCAAGCAGGACTCACCCCGGCAGCGCCTCCTGCTGGTCTTCTCGGGAATTAGCTCATCCAGCCATTGGAGCGCCTTCTGCAGGCCGGTGTCCCGCTGCCGCTGGCCCTGTGTCCCTCCCAGACCCCGGTGCCCTTTGATCTGGAGTGCTGCACCCTGGCAATACCCCCACACTCTGGCTCTAGGTCTCCCCTCTCGCCCACTCGCCTCCTCAGCCCCCCTCCCCTGCCACCGGCTCACCTGCCCCCCCGCTCGCCTCCTCAGCCCCCCCTCCAGCTCAACTGCCCCCCGCTCGCCTTCTCAGCCCCCTCTCCGGCTCACCCCCCCCCCCCGCTCGCCTCCTCAGCCCCACGCGGGGGCCGTATGTTGTGCAGGCCAGAAAGCATGCCTTGTAAGGTATTAGGGGAAAGGTTACAATCTGCTGAAAGTATCAGAGGGGTAGCCGTGTTAGTCTGGATCTGTAAAAAGCAGCAGAGAGTCCTGTGGCACCTTTAAGACTAACAGATGTATTGGAGCATAAGCTTTCGTGGGTGAATGCCCACTTCGTCGGATGCATGTAATGGAAATTTCCAGGGGCAGGTATAAATATGCTGGCAAGAATCAGTCTGGAGATAACGAGGTTAGTCCAATCAGGGAGGGTGAGATCCTCTGCTAGTAGTTAAAGTGTGAACACCAAGGGAGGAGAAACTGCTTCTGTAGTTGGCTAGCCATTCACAGTCTTTGTTTAATCCTGATCTGATGGTGTCAAATTTGCAAACGAACTGGAGCTCAGCAGTTTCTCTTTGGAGTCTGGTCCTGAAGTTTTTTTGCTGTAAGATGGCTACCTTTACATCTGCTATTGTGTGGCCAGGGAGGTTGAAGTGTTCTCCTACAGGTTTTTGTATATTGCCATTCCTGATATCTGACTTGTGTCCATTTATCCTTTTACGTAGGGACTGTCCAGTTTGGCCGATGTACATAGCAGAGGGGCATTGCTGGCACATGATGGCATATATAACATTGGTGGACGTGCAGGTGAATGAACCGGTGATGTTGTAGCTGAAAGTCATTTCTCTATCCATATATGTATATTATTAATGCATATGAAGTTATGAGAATTGTGTGTATGGTTGTCACTAAAACATGCTGTAAATTGGGGAATCAGCCAGATATTCGCTGCCCAGAGTCAACAGCAAGGAAAGTAACCAACACCTGGGCGGGGTGTCAAACAGCCCATCAACAGCCATTGTCCAGCAAGGGAGCTACAATGCAATGACTCACCTGCATGAGGCCACACCAGAGGAACTGCTCAACCCTGCCTGGAGACTCAGCAATGCCCCAGAGACATGCCTGGACTTGTGCTCCCCAAGCACATGGGACGGAGGGTATAAAACGGAACCCAGTGGCCACGTCTGGGCCTTTCTCCTTCACCCACCTACGCTGCAAGCAACAAGGACACTCTGAAGACTCCAACTGAGGGGACTGGCCCAGATTTCAAGGGAGAAATCTGTGTCCTGTGAACTGCAATATCCAGCGGGGTGAGAAAAACTGCTTAATCTAGATGTTGCCCAGTCTAAAAGGGTCAAGAGTTCAGACTGCGGGCCTATATTTTCTTTTGTTTTGGTAACTCACTCTGACCTTTTTGCCTATCACTTGCGCCTTTCCTGCTGGAGTAGGAAGTTGTTCTGGGGCTCGGGGCTGACTGTCCCGCTTATAGAAAGGGAAACACGGACTCTGTGCCCCGTCTCGATTTCATGCCAGCCCTTTTAGGTTGTAAAGTTGGCAGAAATGGCCACCGTTTGTAAACATCCCATGGGCAGGGGGCCTCGCTAGCTGGAGTACGGGTCCTGCATCCCCCTGCTCCCGGAGTGGAGGGCAAATCAGGGGCATGACCAGAGTACATTGCACTACAGCTCTTCCCTGCTCCCCAGGAGGCTATAGGTTGCAGAGTAAGTTAGAACAGCCTCAATGCTGCTCTAACTTACACGGAGGGCTGGGCAGAGTTCTGAATGGCCCCAGAATAGAGGGAACACAATATTTCTTCTGACTTAGCTGCTGTAGGGTCTCTCCCTACAAGGCCTCCTCTGCTATGGAATGGCTCTCACTTCTGGATATGTCTGAAGTAGAGGTCATGGGGCACAACAGGGCCAGCCGGACAGGGCTCTAGCACCTGACTGCCAGCGTTCCTGGCACTGCCCTAGGCACTGTGTTTGCAACACTATCCCTCAGAGGACCTGAGGTAACGCATCACAGGGGATCTTGTGCTCTGCTGCTAGGGGACAGCCGTGGAGACCAAGAACCCTGGCGGGGAGAACAATGGGGAGTTGTGTGGGGGAAGAGAAGAGGCCACATACTATGAATCCCCATCCACCCAGCATTGCAAGGGTTAACACAGCATGCAGCACCAATCTCTCTGCTTTATCCCTGCAGCTTTCTGCTGCCTTATCTCCCTGCCAGAGCTCAGTTCCCCTCCTTGGTTTCTTGCAGCAGCCTCTTCTTATCGCCCTGGTACAGGATGGTGACACTTCTTGTGAAAGAAACTTCCCCTTTGAAGCCACAAGCCAGGGTGCCAAGAGCTACCCGGCAGGCCCATGCATGAGAACCAAGAAACATCCAGAGGCTAAGGGTATATCTACATTGCAAGCAGAAGGTGTGACCGCTGCACTTCTAAACATGTCTGAGCCGACGGGTCGAGTCGGGCCCGAACCCTCCGGCACACTATTCCGGCACTTCCGTGGCATCTTGCGATACTTTCAGTACTTGCATTCCAGCGCATCACTCCCTGATCTGAGCTAGCTTTATCTAGCTAGATCATGGCTAGCTCAAGTATGAATAGCAGTGAAGTCCCAGCAGCGTGGGCAGTGGCTGCTCAAACATGTACCCTCAGTCCTGGGCAAGGAGCAGGCGGCCACCTGCTCCTCGAACTAGCTAGACAAAGCTCGCTGCTGTATGTCTGCCCATGCTCCAGTCCCACATCCCCAGCTGCAGCATAGACATACCCTAAGGTATGTCTCTCCCCTCGCCCACTGGACCGTAATGTACCAGGATCACTGCTGGGTCCCTAAGCTAGAGGGAAAGGACCCAGGCAGTACTAATAATACTTCACCCTTATACAGTTCTTTTCAGCAGTAGATCTCAAAGCGCTTAGAGAGTCCCCTCTTGCCCAGCTGAACAGCTTGCTAGTAGCCGGTGCCATAATCCACCCCAGGCCGGGCGGAAGGTATAACTGGGTTCCAGGAGGACAGGGCCATCGCTGGCTGTTAGCCAAGACAGCTCAGCCTCCGACAGCCAGAAGCTGGGACTGGATCACTGGCTAATTGCCCTGTTCTGTTCATTCCCCAGGAAGCGTCTGGCACTGGCCACTGTCCGAGACAGGTCACTGAGCCAATGGACCATTGCTCTGACCCACTGTGACCGTTCTTGAGGCAATCCCGTGCTGAGGGGGGGAGGGGGCTGGTGGCCACATGGGAGCCTGAGCGCTGGCTGTGGGGGTAAGGCAGCCTGACAGCTGGAGCTGAGAGGCTGGGATCCAGGCACAGTCACACCCTGTTGGGGGCGGAGGGGCAGCAGCAGAGGGATGCAAAGCAGCAGGGGCAGTTGCACATGTGGGGGTGCGCACTGGGCCCAACAAGACCATGGACAAAAGAACCGAGCTCTGGCTCATTGCCTCCAAGGGTGGGGGCCCCCGTAGCAGAGACAGGACTCTGCGCGGATGCCTATAAAGGGGGGTCCTGTATTGAGGCTGCTGGATACAGGCCCACTGGTTCCCTCAGGCACTCTAGCTCCCAGACTGTACTTCCTGATGTCACCACTAGGTGTCTCTCCAAATCCTGGTTTGTATTAAGCAGTCATGGAGCAGAGTGCAGGCTATACTGAATTCATAGGACAGCACTACTGGGCATGCTCGACAGCGCCCCCTGGCTGTCAGGGAGAACTAGGAACTGGATTTAGACCGAGCATTGTAGGGCTTCAGGACGTGGTTGCTTGTACCCCATTTCCAGCCGCTGGAGGGAGAAACAATTTAGCCTGTATATTTTAGGGGGTAGAAACAAAACCACTTCAGAAGGCGTTTTAAAAAGACACCACAAAGTCATACATTCAAAATCAAACTCATTTTACAGTATTGAAATGCCACAGACATGCAAAACCTACTCAGATTTCAGGGGACTGAACAATTTGGGGGGGGGGGGGAAATGATAAATAAGGAGAAAGGGAATCTCAGAAAAGCAGCAGCGGATTAAGCTATAGGTGCTACTGGCCAATGTCTAGGGAGTGTAACTTGTTCTAACCACTAGACCCCACAGCCAGGGATAGAAGAACCCAGGAGTCCTGACTGCCAGCACCCCCAGCTCTAATCTGCACACTCCTCTCCCCTTCCCAGCCCGCTGATTTAACCCCGGGATCACACTCCAGCTGGCAGCTTGGTTTTGAAGTTGGGATCCTACAAGTACTTTAAAGAAGGCAGATTCAAGTTCTGCGATAAGCTCTTCCTTCTCCTGCGGCGCGATGGCGTCTCCTGCCTCCCGACCAGAACGTCAGCCCTGCAAGGAATGAGAGACACCGGTGTGGTTCCGGAAAGGAAAACACAAGTTCCCAAGACAGTTTTGATATCAGGTGAGTGGGATCAGGCCTTCTGTGCACTTGGATTTGACCCTGACTTCAAGCTCCTAGCGTAGCAGATTTCCACGTCTATTGGTGTCACTGGAGCTTCCCTCAGTGCTCCTAAGTCCCTGAGGGCTGGTTTGCACCCAACTTTTGTACCAATGTAACTCCATCAGTCCAGACACCACGTCTGCCCTTCACTGGGGAGTCCTGACTCCCAGCCCCCTTTGCCCTAACCACTAGACCCACCGCACTTCCAGAGCCCAGGAGTCCTGACTCCCAGTCCAGGGCTGTAACCCTGCCCGGATCTAGCCTGGATTCTGGATGCATTTGGTGAGGGTTGGCAAAGATCGCAGGGTCATTGGCTCTCTTACCGCTTTGCTGCTGGTGGCTAAAGTAGACATGGAGACATCAGAAACGTAGGACTTGGGTTTGCAGGTGAACCATCTCTTGTACTCCTCCCGCACCTGGAGATGCAGAGACAGTCAGTGGTGCCGAGAGATCTCTTCTCTCTATGCCTTATCTCTGTTTCTAACGTGCCCAGCACCTCAGCATCTGGGCGATATGCAAATGAACAAGAGCCGCATCTAATCCTGCCTGATAAAAGGGACCTGAGCCCCTCATGCAGTCATTGGGGCTCATTCGCTGTTACCCATGCAGAGACTTACAGCTATTTATGCTCCCCCTCCTCTATGCCTTGGTACAAGTTAGAGCAGCCTCAGGGCTGCTCTAACACTCTGCTTCCTGTGGCAGCAGAGAATTGCCATAATGCAATGCACTCTAGCTTTGCACCCAATCCACCCCCTGCATTGGAGGCAGAGCCTTTATAGGATAGAAGCATGGAAGGGGATTCTCAGGAGGCCTTTTCCTTCTGACTTCCTGAAGGGTGCCAGACTGATTATTTTAGGGAAGTACTCCAGGGAACTGAGAGGCGAAGTGACTTGCCCAAGGAGCCGACTGCACAGCATGGAATTGTGCCCAGGTGCTTCAGCCTCTGGGCCATCGTTCCTTTCCAAACAGGGGGCTGCTCCATTGCTCTGTTACTGGGGGAACCCTGGGGGGAAAGCTGGGGGGGATCTTGCCCAGCATGCTCAGTAAAGCGTCGTTAGCCCGCCCTGCTCTCGGCTGGCAGGGGGTCTGCCAAGTCCATCAGGGGACGAAGGGCCCTGGGCGGTACCTGGCGATTGAGCAGACAGTGCACCAGGAAGATGAAGGCTCCCTGCAGGCTGTTGACGACGGTGAATAAATACGCCATGACCGTGGCAGCTGGGCCGACTTGAAGGAGACCGAAAATCCACGTGCAGCCCAGAATGAAGACTTGGGCGATGGCTTTAAAGGTCAGTAGCCTGGAGAAAGCAGAGGGAGAGATCCCGTGATGACAGCCCTCTGCAGGGCAGCTGAGTCGGGGGGGTCCGGGCTGAAATGGCGAATGCCTCCAGAGAGCCACGCTCCATCTACAAGCGTGAGAGCGGCTGACGCAGAGACTTCGAAAGGCAGCCGCACAAGCTGCTACAGCCTGCGCTAAAGACCCAAACCTCGCTAAGAGCGGCTGGGACGGATTCAGATCCTGTGTGGATCGGGCAAAAGGAGCCCTGGCTGCAGGCACATATAAACTCTGCCTCTATGTGACCTGGCTTTTGGGGTGACTATCCCATCCGGGCCCCATTGCAGAGGGCAGGTGGGGATGGGGAGAGGAAGGTGTCAGCGGGGGGTACACAGCAAGGAGCAGAGCGGGTTTGTAAATCCAAATGTCAGAGACGGGGGAAAGCCCCACTGGGAGCAGATCTCCAGCTGGTGCAAATCGGCAGATCCCATAGAGAGACACCAGCTTCCACCAGCTGACGATCTGTCCATCCAGGCTTCGCAGCAGCATCGCCCTCTCTCCTGCATTCCAGCACCCTGGCCACTCCACGGCTGAGGGACACAAACAATGGGGCGTCCAGCACTGCCCTTGGGGGGCTGTCGGCCAGACTGAGGATCTCTAAGAGCTGTCCCAGCTCTCAGGGAGGCTCACAACTCCCACTTCTGGGAGGCCGGTATCGGCCCAGTTTTTAAAAAGAGGGAAACTGAGGCACAGTGACTTGCCCAAAGTTACACTGCCAGTAGCAGAGCTGGGAATGGAACCCAGGAGTCCTGACTCCCAATTCTAACTGCTAGACCCGGCTCCCCTCCCCGAGCTGGGGACAGAAACCAGGAATCCTGACTCCCCCTCCCCCTTACCACCATTGAACTATACTCTTCAGCTCTGCTTTTAAACCAACGTTACCTGGTGTCCTTGAGGGTGGACACTTCAGTGTTGAGACTGGAAAGCTTTCTCTGCAGCATCCAGAGGGTTAAGGCGAAAAGGACGGAATTAATCTAGAATCAAAGTAGAGAGGTGGTAAAATTTGCAGATACAAAATTGCTCAAGATAGTTAAGTCCCAGGCAGACTGCAAAGAGCTACAAAAGGATCTCACAAATGAGGTGACTGGGCAACAAAATGCCAGATGAAATTCAATGTTGACAAATGCAAAGTAATACACACTGGAAAACAGAATCCTAACGATACACATAAAATGATGGGCTCCAAATTGGCTGTTACCACTCAAGAAAGATCTTGGAGTCATTGTGGAGAGTTTTCTGAAAACATCCACTCATTGTGCAGCGGCGGTCAAAAAGCAAACAGAAGGTTGGGAATCATTAAGGAAGGGATAGATCATAAAAGAGAAAATATCATGTTGCCTCTGTATAAATCCATGGTGCGCCCACATCTTGAATACTGCGTGCAGATCTGTTTGCCCCATCTCAAAAAAGATATATTGGAATTGGAAAAGGTTCAAAAAAGGGCAACAAAAATGATTAGGGGTCTGGAACGGCTGCCATATAAGGAGAGATGAATAAGACTGGAACTTTTCAGCTTGGAAAAGAGACGACTAAGGGGGAATATGATAGAGGTCTATAAAATCATGACTGATGTGGAGAAAGTAAATAAGGAAGTGTTATTTACTCCTTCTCATAACACAAGAACTAGGGGTCACCAAGTGAAATTAATAGGCAGCAGGTTTAAAACAAACAAAAGGAAGTATTTTTTCCACACAACGCACAGTCAACCCGTGGAACTCCTTGCCAGAGGATGTTGTGAAGGCCAAGACTATAACATGGTTCAAAAAAGAACTAGATAAGTTCATGGAGGACAGGTCCATCAATGGTTATGGGCAGGGATGGTGTCCCTAGCCTCTGTTTGCCAGAAATTGGGAATGGGCGACAGGGGATGGATCACTTGATGATTACCCTTTCCGTTCATTCCCTCTGGGGCACCTGGCACTGGCCACTGTCAGAAGAGAGGATATTGGACTAGATCAGGGGTCGGCAACCTTTCAGAAGTGCTGTGCCGAGTCTTCATTTATTCACTCTGATTTAAGGTTTCGCGTGCCAGTCATACATTTTAATGTTTTTAGAAGGTCTCTTTCTATAAGTCTATAACATATAACTAAACTATTTTGTATGTAAAGTAAATAAGGTTTTTAAAAACTTTAAGAAGCTTCATTTAAAATTAAATTAAAATGCAGAGCGCCCCGGACCGATGGCCAGGACCCGGGCAGTGTGAGTGCCACTGAAAATCAGCTCGTGTGCCGCCTTCGGCACGCGTGCCCTAGGTTGCCTACCCCTGGACTAGATGGACCTTTGGTCTGATCCAGTGTGGCGGTTCTTATGTTTGTATGTTCTTATGTCACTAACCCTAATTTGCTTCAGGTTCCGGGGAAGGGATGTGATGGGCAGCTGGGTATCTCGACATGAGCAGAAGCAGAAATTGTCACCATCCAGAGCAAGTGTATTGCTGTCTGGTATGATTATTCGGCCAGATCCCCAGCTAGTGCAAATCAGCATGGCTCCATTGAAATCAACCGAGCAATACTGATTTACACCAGGTGAGGATCTGGCCCCATGATCTGAAGTCCCAACGTGATGCCTACTACGCCTCATTGCACAAACTGGCTTTCACAGGATTGATCTGGTGGGTCTTATCATCCCATTCCCCGACTGGGCCAAAATCCTCCTTGGCATGTACTCCTTCGAGGTCAGTAGCATTACACCAGGGGATGTATTGGGCCCACAGCAATAGACAAGGGAAGCCAGGCAGAGCTCCAGACATCACCGTGCTGAGGTAGGCAGCAGGGTCAAGCCGCAATGGATACGTACCCCGATGATGACACACACCGGCCCCAGGAAACTCCAGATGAACCCCTTCTCCATGCTGAGCCAGCAGCTACAAGAACAAAAGGTTGATGTGACATTCACTGAACATCAGCAGCGTGGTGCAGCGATTATCATTGATATTAGTGCTACCCGAAGAGGCTTCCACCGAGACCAGGGTCCCATTGGTCACAGCTACAGAGTGAGGGACAGGCCCTGCCCCAAACAGCACAATCTAAATGATAAGACAGATGTGGGGGAAGGGAAACTGAGGCAGAGAAGGGGGCGGGTGACTCATTTCGGGGGAGTTCTCTGGCCTGTGTTATACAGGAGGCCAGACCACATGATCGCAGTGGTCTGGCCATAGAATCTATTAATTTTATTCAAGGTCATGCACAGAGGTCAGTAGCACAGCCAGAGAGAGAACCTAGGTGTCCTGTGCCCCAGTCAACTAGATGCTAGAAACTGACTAATTCATTCATGAAGGACAGCAGCACAGCTGTCGAGACAGATGCCCACTGCTCCAGAGAGTCTTTCCCTGGGGAGCACTGGGACACACACACACGACACACACACACACAGAGTGCTGGCTTAAGACAGGACCTACTCTCTTCACTCCCCTTTTTGCACTCACACAGCAAATTTGGCCAGCAGGTCTAGCCACAGTACATCAAATTTCCTTAAAGCCGAGAATGCCTTAGATTAGGACCGTCTACCTCTAGGGACTTATAAGGCCCCATCACTGTAGCCTCTAACAGTCTTTAATAGATTTTGTCTCCCAATACCCCGCTGCAGCAGGGCAGTGCCATCATCCCCATTTCACACATGGGGAAACCGAGGCACAGAGCAGCTAATTGGCTTGCCCAGCACCAAGCCTGTAGAAGAGCTGGGACTTGAACCTGCATCTCCCCTAACACATGTTAATGCCCTAACCACTGCAGCCTCCTTCAGGGCCAGTTCCCCAGCTCGGGCGCTCACTTTTCCCGCCTGCCGTAGCCCTCCGGCATAACCGCCGCCGAGACGGCCACCACCAGGGCGGGGAAGCCGTAGCCGAAGAGGCTCAGGTGCCCCATCTTGGGGCTGTGGGTGCTGAAATAGTTGACGACCCCGAGGTTGCGGACGGTGAGGAAGAGCACCACGGCCTCCAGGAACATCCAGGCGAAGCAGGCCAGGAAGAGGTAGTGCAGGATGCCAGCAATGACGGCGCAGGCCAGCTGGGGAGGGAAGAATGCCCGCGTGAGCGCAGAAATCCCGGGCTCTGCTTCTGCGTAGTTCTCCAGGCCAGGCCAGCACTTAGGGCGACCCCTAGTGGCAACACTATGCAGAACAGGGCGGGAGCTGGTGATCCAGAGAGAACCACAGGGTCTGTGTCCAGCAGCCCGGCTAAACAACATTAGAGCATTGCCTCCACCCTGCCACCAGGGGCACTGTGGCCACCACTAGCTTCTGCCACACAAATCCCAGCTCAGGGGGGCATTTCAAAGAGCCCACTGGAGGTCTGGGGCCTTCAGCCTGCACTAACGAGGACTTCTCGAGGTCCTTTCTAGTCCTATGATTCTTTCATTTAACAGCCTCTAATGAGCATCCCTGGGCTTGGTTCCCCTGCATCAAACCCACCCCTGGGAATTACCACTGTAAGAAGGGGTTTGCCCCAGGATCTCATCTCTGCCCTGATGGCCACTGCTAGCTGCATACACAATATGCTAGCGGCCCAGTGCTCACTCTTCAAAGTAGGTCAGTATCATTACCCCCATTTTAGAGATAGGGAAACTGAGGCACAGGAAGGTGCTTTGCCCAGCATCACCAACAGGTTAAGGGCAGAGCCAAGACTACAACCCAGGACTAGACCCCAGGTCACCAGAGTGCCCAGGCAGTGTTCTATCTACCAGGCTCTTCTCGCTGACCCCTTAGGCACCATGCGAGGGGCAGGGAGTGCTTTACCTGATGGCTGGGTCTGTCCACCGCGGTGAGGAAGAGCAGGTCGGCCAGGAAGAGGCAGAGGCAGAGCTGCAGGTGGATGGAGGTGTTCACGTTGCGGATGGAGCGGCACAGGAGGAAGGTGAGGATGGCGAGGAAGAGGCACAGCACGGACAGGGCCAGCCCGACGTGGGAGATGAGGAACAGTGGGAAGTCTGCCTATCGGGGAGGCAGGGCAGACAGCTCATTAGGAGGCCACACGTCATCCCACGTGGGGCAGTTAATGCAGGTGGGGCTTTGCTAAGAACTCCCCCCGACTCCTGCCCGTGACAGATTATCGCAGCTGTTCCAGGGGAGCAAGGGCATATAAATGTACAGGGGCCTTTATTTCAACCATAGGGCTCTGGGAGCCAGCAGGGGACCATGGAATGGGGAACCGCCTGTGATCGGCCCATGATGCCCACATCCAGTGCTCGCCCCAGCCCCTTTGCGCTTTCTCCGGCGCTGCCCCCCATGCCGGGGAGGGGCTCCCTGTAAACATCCCCAGAGCTACCTCCTTCAATCTCTCCTTTGCCAAGAGGATGCCCGACTGCCCCCAGCAAAGCCCGCAGCCTCGGTCTGCGAGCGTGGGCCCGTTACCGTTATCTCCCCCGATGCCATGAGGACAGCCAGGTTGGAGACGCGATTGCAGCTGCACGTGGTGTGACTGGCGTTGCTGCGCAGGACGCCGCACCCTGCCTGAGACCAGCTGCCACGCCGGGCCGTGGCCTCCCACGAGACGCAGAAGAGCTCGTCGCGACTGTTGCTTGGCTGCAAAAAAATGAAATAAAAATAAGGAAAAAGCAAAGAATAACGCAGGTTGGAAAAAACGTGATACCAGGGGAGCGGGTCAGGGACTCCAGGAAAGCACTTGACGGGCAGACTAACAGAGGCCGTGCGGACCAGTAGACGGGGTATTAGATTGAAACGCAGGAAACCTTGGCTCTGCCACTGGCTTCCTGTGTGACCTTGACGGAGTCATTCTCCTGCTCTGTGCCTCAGTTTCCCCTCCCATCCTTTGTCTAGACCAGGCAACCTATGGCACCGAGCTGATTTTCAGTGGCACTCACGCTGCCCGGGTCCTGGCCACCGGTCCGGGGGCTCTGCATTTTAATTTAATTTTAAATGAAGCTTCTTAAACATTTTAAAAACCTTATTTACTTTACATACAACAATAGTTTAGTTATATATTATAGACTTATAGAAAGAGATCTTCTAAACACGTGAAAATGTATGACTGGCACGCGAAACCTTAAATCAGAGTGAATAAATGAAGACTCGGCACACCACTTCTGAAAGGTTGCCGACCCCTGAGCTAGACAGACTAAGCGCTTGGTGGCAAGGGCTGTGTTACACGATGAGCCGTTCCTGCCAGAAGGGGGCGCTGATTTCAGCCTGTGCATTAGCACAAATACTGAACAGTAGGGCAGAGGGTTAACAGCCTCTCTATCGCCCCCCATAGAGAGTGGGCCAAAGAACACATATTGGCTGGTTCTGAAGGGCTCCCAGACTCTGCGTCTGCCTTAATGAAGCAGAAGAAAATCTATCCCTGCTGCTAGTATTAACACCTAGCTCTTAAGTGCTCTCCATCCGTCAGTCAAGGCGCTTTCCAAAAAAAGTCATTACCCCCATTTGACATATGGGGAAACTGAGGCACAGAGTGGGGGGGGAAATATCAAGGTCACCCAGCAGGCCAGTAGCAGAACCAGGAGTAGAACCCAGGTCGCCCACTAGTGCGCTATCCACTAGGCCACACTGTCTCCCCGTGTTTCTCTTTGCTCTCTTCCCCTGTCACTCAACCCCAGTAGCGGGAAATTTATGTATCTACTACCGATGCTCAGTTAATTGAACTGGGCCTTTAGCGGCTGGAGCAGAAATTCAGATTTTTTCATCAAGAAGTCATGAGTTGAATCCCCCCCTTCCCTCCCAAGGCAGCACCACACTTGGGGGAGAACACAAGAATTCCTCCCCACCTGAGAGTTAATTCAATGCAGCATCCCCACCAGAGAAGCCAGACTGCTCCTGAAAAAGTTGGAATCAACCCCAGCAGCAGTTCATGGAGGGACATGCAGCCGGCCTTACCATGATGTTCTGGAAGGTGTAGTTGACTGGATCCAGGAAATCGGTCTTGGTCTCGCTGGTCAGGAAGGCACTCACAACCCTGGAATTTATCCGGACTGGCAAGACAGAGGTGTCCCTTTGGCCATTGAAGAAGCTGCCATTCAGGATGGACTCCATGCCCACGTAGGAGGCAAACGCCACTCCAGCTCGGGCTGCAAGTATCCCCAAGGAGAAACCAGGTGTTAGCGGCTTCTTTACCCGCATTGCTCCGGGGGACTCGCAAAGCACTGTACCACTCCCCCGCTTCAGGAGCTGGGTAATGTATCACTTCAGACCCTCACACGGATAAAAACGAGGCACAGAAAAGTAACACGATGGCACAGCAAGCCAGAAGCAAAGCTGGAAAGAGAACCCAGGTGTCCGGACAGCCAGACTTCTACTTATAACTGCAGCTCAGCTGGCACTGACGACAAGACAGAGGGGCTGTCCATAAATTACGGAACGCAACAGAGGGCAGGAGATTCCTTAATGTTGTGTGTTTATTTCAGTGTTACAGTGTTATAAGGGGTGGGCGGATCTTGAAAATCCCCCCAAATGTGTGACAGTTTTTGGAGAGCCCCTGAAGCTGGTTTTCTGAAAACGTCTGATATTAACAGAGCTAGTTGGAAAAGGGTTTTTTCCCCCGGGTGAAAATCTTGAGTTTCGGGCAAAAAAAAAAATGGAAACTAAATTTTTGATTTGAAAATGCCACTGCAATGGCTCCTGGGAGTTGTGGTTCGGGTGCCTTATGCTCCTGTTTCTCCTCTATGAGCCAGGCTCCCTGGTTGGTCTGCATCTCCCATGATGCACCATGGCAATCATCTAGCCACAGTGTATCATGGGAGATGAAGCTTGGCTGGAGAGCCTGGCCTGTGGAGGGGAATGGGAGCATGAGGCATCAGGAACATGATTTCAGAATCAAGATATTTTAGATCTTCAGCCAAAAGCAGAAAATATTTCAGGTTGGAGGGCATTTTCGGCAGCCAGTTCTTCAAGACGCAATCTAAGTTTCCTGCAGAAATCAGCCACTTCATGAAGAATTGCATTTTCTGAGGACCCAATTTTCCATTGAAGTACAGTGTAGATGGAACAGTTTTGACCAGCCCTCATTCTTAATTCTTCTAGTTCCCTTTATTCTAGCCAGCTTGAGTAGGATAGAAGGAATTTACATTTGTAGGCGTAAGAACCCAGGAATTGCCATTCCATCACAGAGCCCTGTTCTGTGAGCCCTGTTTCCCAAATCACACCAATGGTGCATCTAGTTCACTTTTCCATCTCTCTGTGTCAACCTGGGAAATCCATCTCACGCCCTCTGGTGGTGGTGACATACCTTGTGCCACTGTTCCCTGGATCGTTCTGCAGCTAATCTTCATGGTCTCCCCTTTGACTTCCAGGCTGACGACCGAGTCCTTTCTGGGGCAGCTGTCCTCAATGACTTTGGTCTGGACAGCTAAGGAGAGGGGGAAAGAGCACGGTCTGATACAGCACAACGGCTCCTCGGCAGGGGCCGTCACTCGCTCTGCAGAGCCGATCCATGGGTGATGGCCGAGAGAGAGGGAAACGGAGAAACACGTCCAGCTGAGAGGGGAAGAGGCTTTTGTGCCCACAGGAAAGAGATAGGGAGGAAGTTTCATGCAGCCCTTGGACCAAGCCTCTCCCAAGGGGTTTAAGAACAAGGGGGGACTGGGGATCTGTAGATGGGGGTGGGGAATGTGGCCTTGCTTGAGAATGGGAACTGCAGCCATCGGCACATGCAGGCTGGGATCCCGAGAGCTGGGATCTAGGGATACGGCCTTGTGGTTCAGGCAGGAGATCCAAGCTGAACTCGCAGCTCTGCCATCGAATCCCTGTGTGACCTTGGGCACGTCACTGCAGCTCCCTGCCTCAGTTTCCCTCCTCTGTAAAATAGGGATAATGAGCCTCCCTTTGTTTGTCTAAATTGGAAGTTCTTCGCGGTAGGGACTCTCTCTCCCTCCGTGTCTGTGCAGCGCCTGGCACAACAGTGTCCCGGTCTCAGCTGGGGTTTCTAGGTGCTACCGTAATGCTCATAACACGGAGGCCATGGAAAAATAGATGATACTGTAATGTTCATAATAGGGAGGCCATAAAAAAATAGGTGATACCATAATGTTCATAATAAGGAGACCATAGAGAAATGAGCCAACTAGATATTGCACCTGCTGATTGGTCACCAGGCAGGCTCCATCCCTATTGGGCCGAGTCACGCTGCTTGTGATGTGCAGCTCCCACCTGTTCCGACCACCCCACCCCCCAAGACCCAGCTTCCTACCCAGTTGTTCCATCTGGATGGTCTGGCTCCCATTCCCGGTCGGGTTGTCGAAGACGGCCAGCACCACATTCTCCACATTCTCCAGGAAGACGGTGGCCATGGCGGAGAGCTGCTTCGTGCTCAGGTTGGACCAGGAGGGCGTCTGCTCCAGGATGGAGGCAAATCCCTCAGCGGCTTTCTACGGTGGGGCGAGACAGAGAGCTCTTATTGGCTGTGCTGCGTTACCCCAGCAACGGTTGGCCAATCTCCTAAGAGCTGCTGATGGGCATGCTCACAGCTGCCCTTCGTCCCACCTGCGCTGAGGATCCACGTCTGCAACATGCCCCGTCTAGTGGCTGGTCCATAGAGGTCTGAGCCAGCTACAGGTCCGGGGTCTGCTCCAAGGCCAACGGGAGGCTTTGAATGACTTCATTGGGCTTCGGCTCAGGCCTGCAGTCCGTTGGCTCAAGCGCTAGCGGCTCGTGCCTCTAAAGCTGTGTTTCCTCGGTCCAGCCCTGCTACGGGCCTGCGTGGCACCGATTAGATCTCTCTACAGCAAGATGCTGGTGAACCACGAGCATCAGCCCTGTTCTCTTCCAGGGAATTCTAGGATCTGCCCACACCCTAGTTATAGGGCTGGAAGCAGGGCTCAGTGGGGTGGGGTTCTGGGGCCTGGGGGATGAAGGAGGGTCTAGAGAGACTGAAAGCTGCGATAAAACATCCAGGCTTCTCTTACCTCCAGAGAGACGGTGGAGTTCTTCCTTTTGGTGGGGTCTCCCAAGACGCTGAAGGTGGAGGTCAATAACGTGCAGAAGGCAGCCTGTGCAGGGCGGTAGGAGGGGGGCCAGAGCAGAAGGAAAAGCCCGTAGTACAACACAAATTTAATCGTACAGCAGCAAGGTTGGTCTTGTGGCCAAGGCATGGGGCTGGGACCCAGGGGTTCAAATTGCAGCATAGTCATGAAGCCATCTTATTTCTCACAGTTTCAATTCCCCATCTGTACAGCAGGGCAACTAACATTGCCACTTACATTGTAAGTCGTGGGGGCACGGACTGCCTCTTACTATGTGTCCATGCAGCACCTGGCACAATGGGGACCCCGATCTTGGTCCATGGGAGGGGGAAGGGGTCTGTGCAGCGCCCTGCTTGAAGCCAGAGTGCTATTGCAAAGGATTGTGGGTGGCAAGAAGGGACAAGGGAGGTTTGGGGTGCCAGAGGTTCTGCTGGTGGGACCATGGGGATCGGGACTGGTGCTGCTGGGGGGACAGGGGGGAGTTATGGCTTCCTACACTGGGGTTTTCCACCCACTGAAGATTTGATGATTCTTGTCACTCTCCTGCAGTCTGCACTTTGCTGCTGGTTCACTGGCAGGGATGACGACGTTTCACCCCCTGGATTAAAATCCCCAGTGCCAGAAACACCAGGTGTGAGTGGCTTTGCTGTGGCAGTCAAGGGCCGCACTGCAGACAAAATTGACGTGGGCTCAGATTCTCCAAATCAACTCGATTTTGGCAGCACTCGTGCGAGGTTCCTTCAAGGTGCCCAGGAAGTGACAAGCGCCCGCTCCCTGCACACTCAGGCCCATTTGAAGGCATCTCAAGTCAGGCACCAAAAACCATCACTGAGTCACTTTAAAGAATTTCAGCCGGGGCTCCCCACGCTGCCTTTGCTGTGAGTGTCTCTAGATCAACGGGGCGTGTGAACTATGCTGGGATACGTACATCGTCTGGGGATGAGCCGTGAGCCGCGTCCAGCCTTCGGTTCTCGCAATTCCTCACCAGATCGTTTGAATCAACCTCTAGGAGGAAATGAACAAAAAAAAAATCAAATGTGCAGGAAATCGCTGGGCGTCCCCATCCAGGATACAAAGGGTTTAAAAATCCTGCTTGTAAAACCAGTGACTTCCAGGTCTAGGGTTACTACCCAAGTAAGCCCCACTGTTCGCTGACCCCAGATCTCGGTTACAGGGAGGCGCCTATTTCCACTCAGGATTCACATCCAGGAGCCTGGTCACCCTTTTCCAAGGAGAAGTGGAGCGGGGGTGGTTCCGCCTCCCCCAAAACCCCTTGGAAGCGAGAGCCCAGTGGGTAACGCGCACACCTGAGATACGGGACATGAAGGGTCAATTTCCCCCCTCTGCCTGATGTAGGACCCTGGGTCTCCCCATCGCCCCGGAGAGACCCTAACCACTAGGTTGCAAGGCTGGTATCTCTCAAGCTCTCCGGTTGGGTAACACGGTCATTGCAACCAGGGGACTGGAACCTGGGTCTCCCGCTGGAGTATCTGGTCACAGCAGGTTGCCGGGCTGATTCACACAGGTCAGTTCAGGCACCCACTGTGGACTGGCTCCATCACAGAGAGAGAGACCAGAGCTGTGTTCCCTTGGGTGCTTTAATACACAGCCAGCTACAGCTGGTCCAGGCTCAGGTCAAGTATGTTATGCATGGTGCCACCTGGTGGCTGAACACTATAATACAGTTTAGCAGTCACTGTACTCTCACAGATCTTGGGAGACAGACCTGTCCTCGCTTACAGACAACCCCCCAACCTGAAGCAAATACTCACCAGCAACCACACATCACTGAACAGAAACACTGACCCAGGAACCTATCCTTGCAACAAAGCCCGATGCCAACTCTGTCCACATATCTATTCAAGTGACCTCATCATAGGACCTAATCGCATCAGCCATACCATCAGGAGCTCGTTCACCTGCGCATCTACCAATGTGATATATGCCATCATGTGCCAGCAATGCCCCTCTGCCATGTACATTGGCCAAACCGGACAGTCTCTACGCAAAGGAATTAATGGACACAAATCTGACCTCAGGAATCATAATACTCAAAAACCAGTGGGAGAACACTTTAACCTGTCTGGTCATTCAATAACAGACCTGCGGGTGGCTATTTTACAACAGAAAAGCTTCAAAAATAGACTCCAACGAGAAACTGCTGAACTCGAATTGATATGCAAATTAGACACAATCAATTTAGGTTTGAATAAAGACTGGGAATGGCTGAGCCATTACAAACATTGAATCTATCTCCCCATGTAAGTACTCTCACACTTCTTATCAACCTGTCTGTACTGGGCTATCTGGATTATCACTTCAAAAGTTTGGTTTTTTTCCTCTTACTTAATTGGCTTCTCAGAGTTGGTAAGACAACTCCCACATGTTCATGCTCCCTGTATGTGTGTATATATATCTCCTCAATATATGTTCCATTCTATATGCATCCGAAGAAGTGGGCTGTAGCCCACGAAAGCTTATGCTCAGATAAATTTGTTAGTCTCTAAGGTGCCACAAGTACTCCTGTTCTTTTCTCTGGCCCAGGAATATCTGTGTTCCCCTAATGAGCCCCACCCTTACTGGGCAGAGAAGCTGTTTAACACCAGGGTGGTGGCTCAGATTTTGTCCTTCTCATGGGCAAGGGCTACAGTGAGAGGCCGGGGAAGGTGTCTTGGATGGTCACCTGTGCAGCGGGTTGTTCCGGGTACCCAAGGCCCTGGCGTGGAGGGAAGGTGCCCGGGTGAGCACTGGCAGGTGTAGCTCCCAGGTGTGTTGATGCAGGAGGCATTGGGCCCACAGATTGCAGGGTTTTGGGCACATTCATCCACATCTGCCAGGAGATGATTTGGAATTAGTCTGTGTGTTTATTACATGCATTACGCTAGCACCTAGAGGCCCCACTGCGCTAGGCGCTGCACAGACACAGTTAGAACTTACAGTCCAACAAGACAAAGTGCGGAGGGGGCAGAGGCCAG